GTTTTGCTTTGTATGAAACGTTGTATATTTTTGCTCAGAAACAGCCTCCTGAGCTCTCACAAATCCCACCACCCATTGTCAGCCTTGAGGCAAATTGCTGACTTACTGATTTGGTACATTGCTTGGGGCTGTCCTTGACAACCCCTTCTCTCCCCCCCCCCCCCCCCCCCCAGGTTTCCTTTGGCCTACTTTCCTGCAGGTGTCCAGGTAGGCTAACACTTATTTTTATTTCATTTTCTAGCCAAGCCAATTCAAGAATGGAAATGTCTTCACCAAGTTCATGCCTACAACCACAAGTGGGTTGGATGTCTGTAACCCACTGCTGTGCAGACCTTTAACTTAATCTAGAGACTGAACCAGATTCAAGTCATCAGCCATTCTCTTGGGGCAGAAATGCCGGGGTATATAGTGTCATAAAGGAAGGCTTTCAAATGTATACCATTGGCGGAGGGGTCAGTGGGGACTAAAAGGGGACATCTGTGATTCTTTCAATAGTACAGATAAACATTTCTTAAAAAGAAGCAATTTTACCATCTGCTAATTGATATGAACAACAGGTAAGTTCCTACGGCCTATTTCTGGTCAGAAACACATCACCAAACTTTTAAATAAAGACACAAAATACTTTTAATCGTAAACATTGAAACAAATGTGAGCTATACATATATTGAATCGATTAATGGGGAAAAGAGGCCATTTGCCTTGAATATTTGTGGAGATCAGGTGTGGTTTCTACACATGTGGGTGTGCCTGGCCCCTCTGGGACACCTGTTACCTATGCCCTACTTTATTCATTCCTGAGTAGGTATGATATGCATTTGTTTCCCTCATGAGCCTACCTTGCATTTCTAAGTTATTTTGAAATGCTTATATAAAAACTAGAGGCGCCAAAACCTGTTTGGTTCAGTGGATAGAGCGTCGGCCTGCAGATTGAAAGGTCCCAGGTTCGATTCTGGTCAAGGGCATGTACCTTGGTTGTGGGCACATCCCCAGTAGGGGATATGCAAGAGGCAGTTGATTGATGATACTCATCGATGTTTCTAACTCTCTATCCCTCTCTCTTCCTCTTTGTAAAAAAAATCAATAAAATATATATTTTTTAAAACTAGAGGCCTAGTACACAGAAATTTGTCCCTCAGCCTGGCCTGCCCCCTCTCACAATCCGGGAGCCCTCTGCTGGAGGTGACCTATCAGGGGAAGGCGCCACCCCATCACTCCGCTGCTGCTACCACTGCCAGCCGCCAGCCCTCCTCGGCCCTCACAGCTGCGGCAGCTTTGTCCGGAAGGATATCCAGAAGAGGTCCGTCTATCTGGTCTAATTAGCATGTTACCCTTTTATTAGTAGAGATATTGAGTAGGCTATAGGAATATGAGTTAGTACTGTAAATTCTAAGCATGAAGGAAGATTATAACTCCAAAACCACTCAGTCATTACCCATACTGGTAAATAGGAGAATATTATAAGGTTGAACAATCAATATATATAAATCAAAGCTTAATTTTAATTAATACTAAGTAACTAGTCGTAAACAGAAGAAGTATAAAAATGTACAGGCCAATCCTGGCTCTCACTGAGCTTACAATTCATATGAGAAGGAAAGAGAAAAACATAAAAATTAAACAGCAATACGAGAGATGTCAAAAGGCAAAATTCTGTTCATTGACACATGAAATGCGATGAGCAGGTAGGGAAGGAGCAGTCATTTCCAGAAGCGGTGGACAGAGATGGCTGTGAGATGAAAAAAGATATCAGCCAGGAATTGAAGGCTGAATCCACAGAGATGAAGGAGGGGATTCTTGGTGGAAGGAACTCAAGGAAAGTACAGATGCAAAAAAAAAAAGTTTACATCCAGAAAAGGAAAGGAAAGAGACCCGTTAGAGTGGCAGGGTATGTTCCAGTAAAGGACATTTTGGGGAAGGCTACCTGGAAATGGGCTGGGGAGGGCTTTGGATGCCCAATTGAGGAGTTACGGTTTCGGAGCAGAAAAGCATCTTGGTCACAGTGGCATTTTAGAAATCTTAATTTGGCCATGGTATGCCAAAGCGTGTGGAGCAGAGAAGACTAGAGGCTGGGAGATCACAGAAAACATAAGTTCAGGGGTGGAATGATGGTAATGGGATGGGAAAGGTAGAGGGGGGTGTGGGACAGGATATACTGAGGGAGAAGCCCGCTAGCGCCCAAAGGTGCTGACTGGCATTTATTGTTGGCGCTTGCGGCTATTTTCTCAAACACTATCACATCTGTGGGTTCCGCGGGTACCGGCACCCAGGCCCCTGCACTGAAGTGGTTCATTTGAACAGCGGTGGGTGGGAATGGGGAAAAGCAGGCATTGTTCCTTTGGAACCTGCAGCATAGAATGCCTGTACACGAGGGTATATGAATCTTTTCTTCTTGATCTTGTATCCTTATCTGAAGACAATAAAAAGTGTTAGCTGAAAAGTGCTGCTTTCCCTCCTGCCCCCTACCCCCCAAAGAAGTGCCATGAAATGTAGGAATTTTAAAGGAGATCTGAGAGCATTTTATTTGAAGAGAAATGTAACCTGAGTCACTGAAGGAAAGCCCCAAGAATCCTGAGCGCCCTTTACGCCTGCAGCCCTCTGCTGGAACTCCTATTAAAATACCCTTCTGGTTTTGATTTCCATGTAATGAATTTATTCTCCAGAAATTCAGAGAAGCTTGGTGTCTCTCTCTCTCTCTCTCTCTCTCTCTCTCTCTCTCTCTCTCTAAATGAGCAGTGGAAATCTTTCTGGAGAGTTTTTCCACAGTTCAAATCTCATGCCCCCATACGTGTACACAAAGAAATGCCTCCGTGATGTATACAAACACATACGTATTGACACTTACGCTACAGTCACTGGCGCCCAGGCTTCTGCACTGAATGCCCACAAGCCAGTTCCGGCCTTATCGCGGACAGGAAGCTGCAGTCCCTTCGCCCTCCTGGGGCACTTAAACTTGGCACAGGCGCTTCCAGTGGCACTACTTGTCGGAAAGATGGCGCTGGATAGAATGCCTCCTCCCCACATTGCCTACACCTCACCCCACAGTCCGGCAGCCTCAAATTCAATTCTCCCCTTGGCTATTTTGAGACTGCCCCTTCAGGAAGGACAGGGGGGGTGGGGGGGAGAGGGCCAAAAGAAGCCGGAAGGGAAGACAGGTTTGCGGTGACAATATGGGTAACTAAGGGTCTCCAAAGCTTACATTAAAGGCAGGGGGCAGGCTCTGGCCCTGGCTCTCCCCTCTTTCTAGCCTTTCTCCTTTCCTTGCTCACCTGAGCCTCCCCAAGAGGTCACAGTAAGCTGACAAGTCGTCCCTGAATAAACAAATAAACTACCCACCAGCCCCCTCCCAAGACAATTTTATATACTTGGATTTAAGTAAGCGGAGGGAGTTAAAACTGCTTGTCTTTATGGCTGAATAAGCATTGCTTTTTAGCCCTGGGCTCCAGTGGCTGCGGAAGTTGGTCTCTCCCCAGGTAGACTGACTTTGGTCCAGCTGCTAGAAAGACATGTGAGTGACACATACTTCTTAGAAGCTGTTTCCTTCTCAAGGATTCGATTAAAGGCGTTTTCTTTTCAAAGCTGACCTGGGGAACTTGCCGGGGGTTACTCTGAGAGCGGGCTGTGTGTTCCTGGCGGCTTGTTCTGTCCCTCCGTCCCCACATATAACCCACAGGCAGCTAGCTGGGCAGGAGGCTCACGGATTTCAAACCGGTTCCTGTGCCAACTCCAAAACTACGGGTCTAACTCCAACTGCGTCTGACTCTAATCCTCCTGGGTATGTACCTATTCTCTTCTCTCATCCCTCCCAAAACTAATCCCAGAGTTTTGAGAATCTGGGGACTTGGGCAGAGGAGAAAACAACCAAGACCTGTGAAAGCTCCGTGCATTACCTCAACCAAAACCAACAGTGCCTTTGTGTTTGCATTGGCCCGGCTCAACGGATCGGATCATGTGAATCCCAAAGCATGAAACGCAGGTGTCCTTCCTGTCCGACGTGTGCTCACATGGGCTCCTTCTCGGTGGCGGTGTCCTGGACTCCACGCGCCCACGTTTGCGTGTCCTGAAGCCTCTCTCTCTCTCTCTCTCTCTCTCTCTCTCTCTCTCTCTCTCTCTCTCTCTCTCTCTCTCTCTCTCTCAGGCTCGCCAGCTGGGACCTGGGAGTGTGTGTGTTTCCTCCCAGTCCTCCGCGCTGGCAGTCAGAGGCACTAACCTCGCTTCCTGGCTGCATCTACCAGACTGGCACATGCTAGCTGCCGGCGAGCCCATCGCCCAGGGAGCTTCCGGACAGACAGACAGACGGACAGACGCGCGGCTGGCTTCAGCCCGGCGCTCGCTCGCTCGGCTGCAAAGTTTCCTCTGACCGCGGACACCCGCTTCCCATCCCCGGAGCTGGCCGGGCGCGGGCTGCCTGGGTCGCCGCTAGAAGGGGAGAGGGTTTTTCCCACTCACTCTGCTAGGCTGCCCGACCCGAGGACCAACCTCTCACCAAACTCCTCCAACCCTCCTGGCCAGGCTGCCCCAGCTCTCCGATACTGGGAGGACCCGAGGCCCCCTCCCCAGCTCCCGGGCTGGAAATCCGGGCGCCGGAGGTAGACGGGGAGCCGGGGCGCGGGGGGCGCAGGCGGGAGCTGAGCGCGGGAGGCGAAGGCAGCGCAGCAGGGAACGGGGCGCAGGAGAGGGGGGCCTCGGGAGCCGGCGGGGACGCGGGTGGGAGCCGGACGCCGCGGGGAGCTGGGGGGCCGGAGGCCGGAGCCGGCGGGTGCAGAGAGGGGTGCGCTCACAGCACCGCGGGCGGGAGGCGCTGGCTGGGAGATGCGCCGCGGACTCCCGGAGCTCTGGGCTGTGGGTGCGAGGAGGAGAATGCGGGGAGCTGGGGCGGGGGTTTGGAAGGGGAGGGGGGTGAGAGAGAGACCTGGGGGCGTGCCTTCGCCCGGATTGGCTGCAGGCGCCTGACGTGGGCCCCGGAGGCCGGCCCGGGGGAGTGGGAGCGGGGTGGGGTGGGTGCTGGGTGCCTGGCTGCGGGCTCGGCGCGCTCAGAAACATGCTGAGGTCCCGGCGGCTGTTACAGCAGCGGCTCCAGCAGCGGCTCCAGCAGCAGCGGAGGCGGCGGCGGCGGCGGCGGAGACAGCGCGCAGCTCCTCCGGCGGGGAAGGCGCCCGGCGGCGCCCATGCCTCCGGCTCCGCGCCGCGGCTGCCCTGACCCGGCCGCGACCTCCCTCCCCGCGCGGGCCCAGCCGCCCCGACCTCTGGGGGGTCCCCCAAACAACACGGCCCAGCCGCCCCGCCGCCACACCCCCCGGCCCCGGCCTCCTCCTCCTCCTGCTCCGCAGCTCGGCATGGGCGCGGGGGCGCTCGCCCTGGGCGCCCCGGAGCCCTGCAACCTGTCGTCCTCCGCCGCGCCTCCTCTCCCCGACGGCGGCGGCGCGGCCCGGCTGCTGGTGCCCGCGTCGCCGCCCGCGTCGCTGCTGCCGCCGCCGGCCGGCGAGGAGGGCGGCCCCGCGCCGCTGTCGCAGCAGTGGACGGCCGGCATGGGCCTGCTCATGGCGCTCATCGTGCTGCTCATCGTGGCGGGCAACGTGCTGGTGATCGCGGCCATCGCCAGGACGCCGCGGCTGCAGACGCTCACCAACCTCTTCATCATCTCCCTGGCCAGCGCCGACCTGGTCATGGGGCTGCTGGTGGTGCCGTTCGGGGCCACGCTGGTGGTGTGGGGCCGCTGGGAGTACGGCTCCTTCTTCTGCGAGCTGTGGACCTCGCTGGACGTGCTGTGCGTGACGGCCAGCATCGAGACCCTGTGCGTCATCGCCCTGGACCGCTACCTCGCCATCACCGCGCCCTTCCGCTACCGCAGCCTGCTGACCCGTGCGCGGGCGCGGGCCCTCGTGTGCGCCGTGTGGGCCATCTCGGCGCTGGTGTCCTTCCTGCCCATCCTCATGCACTGGTGGCGGGCCGAGGGCGCCGACGCGCGCCGCTGCTACGACGACCCCAAGTGCTGCGACTTCGTCACCAACCGGGCCTACGCCATCGCCTCGTCCGTGGTGTCCTTCTACGTGCCGCTGTGCATCATGGCGTTCGTGTACCTGCGCGTGTTCCGCGAGGCCCAGAAGCAGGTGAAGAAGATCGACAGCTGCGAGCGCCGCTTCCTGGGCGGCAGCAGTGGCCCCGCGCGGCCGGCCTCGCCCGCACCGTCCCCGGGGGCCCCGCCGGCCCCGCCGCCGGAGCCCGGGCGGCCCAGCAAGCGGCGGCCCTCGCGCCTCGTGGCCCTGCGCGAGCAGAAGGCGCTCAAGACGTTGGGCATCATCATGGGCGTGTTCACGCTGTGCTGGCTGCCCTTCTTCCTGGCCAACGTGGTGAAGGCCTTCCACGCCGACCTGGTGCCCGACGGCCTGTTCGTCTTCTTCAACTGGCTGGGCTACGCCAACTCGGCCTTCAACCCCATCATCTACTGCCGCAGCCCCGACTTCCGCAGCGCCTTCCAGCACCTGCTGTGCTGCGCCGCCCGCCGCCGCCGCCGCCGCCCCGCCGGCCCCCGCGACCGCGACCGTGACCGTGACCGCCGCGCGCGCGCCTCGCCGGGCTGCCTGGCCGTGGCCGGGCCCGCGCCGCCCGGGGCCGCCTCCGACGACGACGAGGACGAGGACGACGGCGGCGTCGGGGCCGGGCCGCCCGCGCGGCTGCTGGAGCCCTGGGCCGGCTGCAACGGCGGCGGCGGGGCGGCGGCGGACAGCGACTCGAGCCTGGACGAGCCGAGCCCGAGCCCCAGCCCGAGCCCCAGCCCCGGCTGCACCTCGGAGTCCAGGGTGTAGGGCCCGGCCCGCCGCCCCGTCTCCCCGTCTCCCCGCCGGGACGCGCGGGCTCTGCGCGCCTGGATGGAGAGCCCGGGCCCGGGATGGAGAGAGCCGGGGCGCCGGGATGGAGATCCTGGGCCCGGGATGGAGAGAGCCGGGGCGCTGGGATGGAGAGCCCGGGCCCGGGATGGAAAAATCTGGGGTGCCGGGATGGAGAGCCCGGGCCCGGGATGGAGAAAGCCGGGGCGCCGGGATGGAGAGCCCGGGCCCGGGATGGAGAGAGCCGGGGCGCCGGGATGGAGAGCCCGGGCCCGGGATGGAGAGAGCCGGGGCGCCGGGATGGAGAGCCCGGGCCCGGGATGGAGAGAGCCGGGGCGCCGGGATGGAGAGCCCGGGCCCGGGATGGAGAGAGCCGGGGCGCCGGGATGGAGAGAGCCGGGGCGCCGGGATGGAGAGCCCGGGCCCGGGATGGAGAGCCCGGGCCCGGGATGGAGAAAGCCCAGGCGCCTCCGGATGGCTCCCCGGGGGAAAGAGATGTGTGTTTACTCAAGACCTGCAGCAGGTGGACGCGGAGCCCGCAGACCTCCTCCGAAGCATCCAAAACAAACAACCCACGGAAGCGTCACGGGCCGGTGCACAGAAAGGGAAGTTTGGGGAGAGGTGGGAGCGCGGCTGGCTCCTTTCTCTCTCGGGTTCTTTTCCAGGCTTGTGCGATGCCTCTTGAGATATTTTCCCCACCCCCACCCCCCTAAGGTGACACTGTCTGCAGGGAAGGAGGAAGCAGGCCAGGGAAGGAAGAAGCATGAGGGTATGCAGTGTTGTGGATCAGCGTGGCTTCTATCCCCCTGCCTGGACCGGGAGCCGTCCACCCGGGAGAGGGGGGTGGGGAGGGGAGGGATGGCAGTGTGTCAAGCTGTCTTTCCATTTGCTTTCCAGAGAAATTTCAGTTTAATTCCCGAGGAATGATTTCTCCTGTTTGGGAAGCAAAGGGAAAGGGTGGGTGCCAAAAGTGCGTTTCAAAAAAGAAAGAAAGAAAGTGTGAGCTATTCCTGGAACGCGCCTCACCTTGCTTCCCCTGAGCAGGGCGAGCCTGCTGTCCCCGGCCCCAGGTGGCCAGGCTGAGGGGTTTCTACCTCACTCTGTGCACATTGCACAGCAAGCTAGGAAGACTTGTTTATATTAAACAGCTTATTTATGTATCAATATGCGTTGGAAGGACCAGGCACTGAGCCTCTATGACATGTGACTCTGTCCATGGAAGACAGGACAGAAAAAGAAAAGACAAAAAAGAGAGAGAGAGAGAGAGAGAGAGAGAGAGAGAGAGAGAGAGAGAGAGAGAGAGAGAGAAAGAGAGAGGAAGTAATTCAGATTACTGCACATGTGGGTAAAAACAAACAAACAAACAAAAAACAAAAAAAAGGAATAGTTCAAAATGCCATTTTTGCACAGTGTTAGAAATTGTAAAAGTCCACAGAGGCGTTACTTGCACAAAAAGAAATTGAATATTTTTTAACGGGGAGGGAGGGCAAATCTTAAAAGCTAACCTACAATTCAAACTCTACTTCTGTTGGCTATGATTTTATGGAGCTAATGATATCTTGGGAAATACCATTTTATACTTTTATCATGGTACTGTAACTGTATCCATAGTATAAATATATAAATACCTTGAGGATTTTTATTATTATTTTTTTATGTCCCAGTGCCCACGTGAATCCGCTTGTAACATTGAGCACTTTCTGTATAAACTCTATCTCCTCTGTGTGTTTTACCAAGTATTTATACTCTGGTGCAACTAACTACTGTGTGAGGGGTTGGTCCATGTGCAATAAATACCCATGAAGCACCAGGATGGCTACGTGCCGTGTGTCCGTGAGGGGTCCGTGACCTTGGAGAGACGGTTTGTGTTGTGCAAAAGAGAAATTTTTCCCAGGGAGCTCTTTTCATAGCTTTTCACGACTTTATACCCTAGCAAAATGCCCGTACACCAAAGAAAGCACGCACCTACCACCGAGAGCTGCGGTCTCGCCCTCAATTTTCACAGCCGGCTTGAAATGCTAGACAGTGTGTAGGTTGTTTGCAAGAGCCCATGGCTGCACCTGACTTAAGAAGTAACATTTGGGATTGTGTGCCTTCTAAAGAAGAGTGATGGAGCCAGGTAACTCAGCTGCAACTTGGCCCGGAGCAGCAGGAAAGAAGACTAACTCATTGAACACACACACTGCCTGCTCGGAATCCGGTAAGTGGCTTCCATGACTTTGTTTTCCAGGAGAAAAGTCACGGCCCGCAGATGATCGGTGTGCACACGTTTCTCCAGGGGCCGTTTAGAATGCAGTGTGTTCTGGTGGTCAAACAAAAATGTATGCGAGAGCTTTGGAGTAAATATTCTTTTCCCTTGGGTGGTTAAAGAGACCACAAGTTCTGGGTGGGCCGGTCCCAGGTGAAAGCAGATGGGAAGTTTTAAAACTTCCTAACAGGAGGATGACAGCCAATGGATAGGATAGTTTTCATGAAATTAGTTCCTAAGGAGCATCGAGGGAAAGTTGGATCCTGGGATGAATTGGACCTTCTCCAGAATCGGTTGATTTGAGGATGTATTCTTTGTATTTTTAAACCAGGGCTTCCTTTCAGGATCCTGCAGTACAGAGAGCAAAGGGAAGGGTAGGCAGTTTGGGCTCGTCCTGAGCTTTAACACGAACAAACTGTTCTCCGCTAAGGGAAGCGGGTTCTGGTGTCCCTGTCTGCAGGGGGGTGGTCTGAAGACCAGGAGACAACCTTCTGAGAAACGTCCATGACGTGGATGATTAGAGACCAGCAGAAGGCTGCGTGAGCAGTAGCCATTTCAATTCAAGCTGTTATACGTTTAACTCCTTCCTCCAGAAAAAATAAATAAATAAAGGGGGGGGGGGTGGAGAAGGGCAAAACTTCTTTAAAAAGGCAAAGATAAATACTTAAAGCAAGTTATTTTGGAGGATGCAGAATCAATTTCAGAAGGAGATCTCACTCCTTCCCCAGGTACTAAATGCCATCATATTTACCCTCCCTTCCCACACCATGAGTATGTAAGATGCTTTTTGTTAGGGGTTTTATTCCTCTTTATTTTAAATTATATCGCACAAGTAATAGATTAAATGTCTAGAGTTTCATCTGAAGAATACTGAGTACCAGGCTAATGCTTCACTTTCTCCATTTCCTTAGTATCTACTTCCTTTGCATATAGATTGTCCTTACATTTAAATAAAAAGACATTTTCCCAGCCCCAAACCATACATCAGACCTCAGGTCTTAAAATGATGAAAAGCCCCTTAAACGTTAACAATAAGATATCTATCTTTATCTAGTAGACAGCTATGAGCTCTTTTGTGAATGACAAGAAACCACTATAATTGGGGGACCAGTTTGCATTTATTTGTAGAAAATAGAAAAAGATTTTTCTGGGTTTCCCGAGTTCACTAACTGAGGAATTAAGAGGATTCAAAAACATACTGTGCCAGTGATTTCCAGCCGCCCATGAAAACTACTTTTTGTTGTTGTTTTTTAAAGAGGCAGACATCAGTTTATAGTAGGAATGTGGGCAGCTGAGCTGCCCATCCCAATAACTAAAGCCATGGGAGGAAGAAATTGCCAATCCTATTTAATCTGGTAAAAAAAAAAAAAAAAAATGCGCAGCAGAAGTGACAGGGGGAGGGCAGTGGACATGCAGAAAAATGCATCTTAGCCATGGGTCTGTGTGTAACAAAGTGCTGAAGGTATTAACACTAAAAACAGTGAAATTCACTGTGATTCATTGAATGGCTACCTTGGAAATGATGTTTCGTTTGCACACTATAACGTTCTCTGATACGTAACAAGGCTATTCCAGCTTCTATAAGTTCTCCCTCCGACGTAGAAATGCATCATTGGTATCGCAGACAGCTTCATCCCTTGGTGAGCTTGCCTGCTTAGAAATTTGCGAAGAGAGTTTACTTTTTTCAGCCCAAGCTTTCCTTGGAACTGGAATTATTAATAACTTTTAAGTGGCTATTGTGAAACCTTTCCCTGTCAAGCACATTTTCCTAGCTTATTTTAATTTTGTTCAATGTGCCGACTTCCTCTGGCAGCATGTAATATTGCCAGGCGGAAATTCTGCACCCAAAGTATCAAGATGATATTAACATTTAAGATGGTGGGGGTTTTTTTGTTTTTTGTTTTTTAGCAAGAGCTTCTAACCAAGGGTCTAAAAGGGAAAGTATTCTATTCACTTTTGCTGCCATTTGAGAAAAGCTTAAAAAAAAATTTTTTTTTTAACAAAGCTGAACCCATTCATTTTTTTTGGAAGGGAAAAATAAATAAAAACCTTAGCAGAAATTCAAATTCAACACATTGGCACAGATGACTTCGTTTTATTTGTTCGTCTCTGGCATAATGTGCTGAGAAATACTAATTCTTTTGACTCCCTGCCAATTTGCTACTAATCAAAATGGAGAAGATATGCACTGTTTGGATTATACCTAAAAATAGTTGTGCTCCAGTCACATCAGCAAATGGAATTAAATTAATCTCTCTCTCTTCCCCTTCACACACACCCTCCACATTCAACTTCCACCCAGAATATTGCTCGCGCATCCCCTAATTTGTGATTCAGTATGTCCCCATTTGCATTGCTACGTGCCCATGATTTTTAAGCATACTCCGTGGAACCACTTTCTGAGAAATGTACCTCTCCTAAAATCCCCTCTTTTACCCTACTCTCATTTAAAAAGTCTCTACTAACTAGCCCTTATCATGTCATCAAAGAGGTGGTAATACCATAAATAAATACTCTGTGGGTTAGTTTTCCTCACCAATAGGGGGGAAGGGATGAGGGAGTTTCTGAATCAATAAGGTTTGGTCACTTGATGGAGAGGGACTAGATTCCCAAGTCCAGTTGCTTTAATATCAGACTGGAAAACCAGCAGCCCCCAAAGAGAAGCTTACAAGATCTTGGCAGTCATGCTAGCCTCACCCAGGAAAGCATTGGAGGTAACTGTCGACATCCATTAAGCCTTGGCCTTCACTTGAATGTTGGGCAGAGATCTCTCTGGACATATTTGTACCTTCTGTATCTGAAACCAGTTCTTTTGTGTGTGTGTTTTAATGTACTTTTAAAAATTGATTTCCGAGATGAAGGGAGAAGGGGAAAGAGATAGAAACATCAATGATGAGAGAGAATCATTGACTGGCTGCCTCCTGCATTCCTCACACTGAGGATGGAGCCTGTAATCCTGGCACGTGCCCCGACCAGCAATGAACCGTGACCACTGAGCCACACCATTGGGCCTGAAACCAGTTCTTGACTTGGTCCCACCACGCTCACTAGCTCTTCCCTTGAGCACTTCTTCAGTTCTTGAGTGAACTAGAAAATACATCTGTTGTCTTTATATTCATTTCTCATGAGTGGTTTCCTAAAGCTCTGATATTCAACGACTCTCAGAGCTTATAATTCCTTTTTCCCCTCTCTCCACATCCCTCCCTCAGAGCTGTTAATTAGCAAGATCTCGCTGCTTCCTTCCTACTTATCACACGGAATTTACCTAGGATGCATTTTAAATGTCTTACGTTTGGATTTCTTCCTGAAATTTTCGATATTGCTCATAATTACAAGTAGAAAAACAATTTTTAACTATTGTGTGTACTTTTCCTAGAAAAGGTTTTTCACAGTGAATTTAATTCTTGGGGGGTGGCAGGCTATCGTAACAGGCTTTATTTTTGTTTCTCTTCATTTTTCAGTTCTTTACCACATGACCTTGTCAGTCTTTCAGTATCCTGGTTGCAAAGATAACCTTTGCAGTTCCACCTTTAATTACATGTAAATTCATTTTCCTAGTCATTAGTAGGCTAGCTAGCTGATTTGTGGGAATTATGGGTAAAACTCTAGGAGAGCAGAAAACTTGGGCAAGCAGATGGCCCAGCGATGGACAGCTCAGCTCTGAATGGGTTTGCCAGTGTGTTCAATGACCTTGGGGAAATCAGTTGGTTTGCCTGCTATTCAGACCCACTTCCCACAAAGCTGGTATCAGGAGCCTTTGTGAATCCCTTTGAGATGCTCTGATCCAAGGAGCTCATTGCTTTGCAATGACTATGTCCATCCCTTGGAGTACTTCCTCCTTACCTTTCGGCCCCTTTCCTAGGAACTCCACCCACCAGAATCCCTGCTGTTGTTTGTTTGTTTGTTTGTTTGTTTTTAAGTGAAAAGAACACCCAGAATAGCTAAATATATATAATACTCCGTGCATCCAAACAGTCCTCTTTTATTCCATTTAAGAGTCCACAGAAACCACAGCTGAATAAATAAAATAGCCTTCTTCCCCAACGCTGGATTCAAAGACCTGGAGGCTATGTGCTAAGCAAAAGCACTTGTTTAATGATTCTTAACCCACA